CATCAAACACATAATCGGCCATAATAGTGGATTAACTATTTTCCTGCAAAACCGAGTTATGCAAATATAATCCAATATATGGCTGCGTTTGAACACATCTTGTCAAATAAAGCCGTAAAAATTCGAACTTTGTACAAAACGAATTAACCAAGTGCTCTGATACCACTTGTTGGGATCTGTGAGGATCTCGTTATGTACAAATCACGAATTCAATAGCAAACGTAAACCTATGCGCAGCGGATCTAAAGGTTTGACGTAGAGAACTTACGGCTTAAAATTTATGTAGATCTGGTTGACCACGAACGGTTGACCGCAATTGATTGACCGCAACACGCGTCTTGGGTTGCACGAACAAGATCAGATCAAAACTGGATCAAACGGATGCAAACAGATCAAAACGAAATTTTGCTGCCAGACACCTTCCGGCGGCGCGTGAGGGCGCGTGCGGCGTCGGATTCCGGCGACGTCGGCGGCGATGGAAAGCTCTCGTCGAGACGGTCGTCTGGGTATACTGTACGTCTCAATCGGACTTCCGGTTAGTTCTGTAGGTCAAAATCAATTTCGTCTCGGTTTACCTACAGATCTTCTACTGTATTACTCAATACACCCTTCTTCAACTTGTACCAGTGGAGCAACAAGAAGAAGATAAAGCTCGAATGAGATCTAGAGAGAGAGATGGTTTCACGTGAGAATGAGACTTCTATTCTCTTCTCATGAGCTTAATGATGTATATATAGAGCTACAGTAGGGACCCTAAGGAGATTAGGAAAAGGGCTCCTTAATTAATTAGACTAACTGTGGGCCAAACCCACTCCTCTAATTAATTAAATAATATTAATGGGCCACCAACATTATATTATTGCACTCCCTTTCCCTAGCCCAAATTACATTTGAGACTCCAATAATAATTACTCGATTTACCTCCCCACGTTTAAGATATAATGTCCATTAATTAATTCGATTACTGACAATCAAGAATTAATTAATTTATTATTATTTCACCGAAGCTAGCGCTCGTTCATCACATTCTTATTATGCCGGAATTTAATCCACCTGCAGGGTTTAGCATAACAATCCTTCATGAACTCACTCCGGGGACATCATCAAACTAACGCACATGGTGACCGTAAATATCCTAACAGCACATCCTATATATAATAATATTACCCAAAACAGTAGGAATATTAATCCAGCGAACTGAACCTCACCCATGTGAATCAAAGTAATATATATTATATATATCTGCCTGTTTAATATCTTACGGGTTAAGAGAACGCAGTAATTAACCGAGGCCTAGTTCATTTACGACGATCAGTATAAAATGAACTTCTCCTCTCTGGGATCCTGTTCAATACATAAATGTACTAGTGCAACTAATCAGTCAAGACAAACTGTACAGTTGACACTACAACCGTTCGGATGGGGTGTTCATGTCCATCTAGGTTGTGAACAACTATTCTTGTTCGCAAGTGACTGATAGAGTGATCTTCGGTTCGCCCGATGACGACCCACCCTATCTAAGTGCAGAACAACAGAACGTAGAACTTGTTTAATCTAACATGATTTTCATTCATAAAGGGTAAATGTGTAATAACATGCAAAGCCAAGCTTTCAGTATATAACACTAACACCAAGTCCTCCTCACTTTCACCACACCAACTGCAAATGACATCGCCTAGCATACCTTTGAGTCTCAGGTTGGTTTTTGTACCCACCCAGTTATGATAGCATCTCCAAAGGAAGTTCTTTACGTTTGGGTTGATACTAAGGCTCCAAGTGCTCTTCCACATAACCTAAATCCTCACTTTAGCTGAACTAGATCCCACTGTCAACCTGTTATCTTCCTTATTCATATGAATATTTTTGTAAGCCTCCTTAATAGAAAATTTACCCTGTTTGTCAAAGTGTCAAACCAACCTTTCCTTCACATTTCTGTGGCTTATATGAATTTTTAAAATGTTTGTTGCATCCATAGGGTTAAAAGTTTGAGCTATCAGTTCATGGTCCCATTGAGTCCCCTCTAATGTCATCATGTCAGACACTTTACAAATCTTAGACTTATCTCCTTCAAAACAACAAGTGGGTTTAAAGTTGGGAGAGTGAGGAATCCAGGGAGATTCCCAAACATCAATGGATTTGCCATTACCCACCTGGAATCTAGCTCCTAACTTTAAACACTCCCTAGTCTCTAGCCAACTCTTCTACATCCAAGAGTCACTATTCTTCTTCTTAACATCAACTAACCTCTGCTTATGAAAATACCTACCTCTAATCACCCTACTCATCAAAATATTAGGCATTGTCAACACTCTCCACAACTGTTTGAGAATCAAGACTTCATTAAAATCTACTAAATCCCTAAACCCCTACCCCCTTTCTAACTTTGATTTAGCCAACTTACCCCAATGAGCCTCCCCCCCTCCTCATTTTTGTCCCACCAAAACTCTGCAACTATTCTACACAAATCATTACAAACCCCCCACAAGAATTCCAAACACTAACATTACATACACAGGCAAAGTACTCAGAATAGTTTTGATTAGCACCTCTTTGCCTGCCTTACTAAGAAAAAAGTTTTTCAACTAGTGACCCTAGCAATTACACACTCTTTGACAAAGGCAAATGTTCCTTTTTTATTTCTCCCTATTCCTAAGGGAAGTCCAAAATACCTTAAGTTCTTAGCCACTAGAATGCCATCAAGAGATTAACAGATGTTATTTTCACATATAAGGAGTATTAGCAGAAAAAAAATGCTAGACTTATGAAGGTTTACAGCTTGGCCAGAAACACCACAATAAAGATCCAAAATTTGCAATAAAATACCAACATGATATGAATCTGCCTGACAAAATATCATAGAGTCATCAGCAAAAAGAGGTGGCATATGTTAGGGACATGCCTGCTGATTCTGAGCCCTTTAAATGAAAGAGAAATGCAGGCTTGAGATAACAAATTGGACAGAGCCTCAGACAAGATGACAAATAGGTAAGGGATAAAGGATCCCCCTGCCTAATACCCCTTGAAGGAACAACATGACCCAAATTCTGACCATTAATGTTAAAAGAGAAAGAGAAAGAGCTAATACAAAACCAAATCCAAGCTATGAATTTATCATGAAATCCCATGTGCTTACACAGCCTCATAAGAAAGCTCCACTCTACTCTATTATAGGCCTTGGCCATGTCTAACTCAATGGCCATGAATATGGTTTTTCCTCTCTTCTTACTGTTTAAATAATGGATACACTCATTATCAATGATGACATTATCTAAAATCTGCCTGTTAGGGACATAAATTGCTTGGGAATGAGAAGTACAAACATGCAAGACACCCCTAAGTCTATTAGCCAAAATTTTGGCAGTGAGCTTATAAGTAATGGTGCAGAGACTAATGGGTCTGAAATCAACCACTTTTTGGAGATTTTTAATTTTTGGAATGAGAGTTATGACAATGTGATTTGTGGTTTTAGGAATACTCCCATGAGTAAAGAAGTTTGACACAATAACAAATCAATAAGATTTTATAATATCCCAAGCAGACTGAAAAAATAAAGGAGAGAACTCATCAATACTTGGTGCTTTGCTATGCTCCATCTCCCATAAGGCCTGCTTGATTTCACTTTCATCCACAACTCTATTGAGATATTGCAACATACCATTCGAGATGCTCTAACAACGAATAAAGTGCTCTACCAACGAATAAAGTTGTACTGACATAATTATTTGCATAATAAATTGGAGAAATTGAGTTTTAGTCTAATTTAGATAATTTGGTCAAAATTAGTTTTACATTCCCAGAATTCAGCATTTATTTAGTCTGTAGTTGATCCAACAACTCTTAAATTTTAAAATTATTGGACTAAGTTGACTAAAATTAAAGAGTTATTATTGTATCAATTTTGGACCACAATAATTACTAGACAAAAAGGAGACTAGAACTTATTTTTTTCAAATAAATTGAAAGGGGGCTGCACTTTAATTTGTCTTTTCCCTTGTTTTGGAATTTTGTACACAATAATTATGCAGCCAGTGGAGCTTCAAAAACCATATGCGTATCTTGTTTGCCTTCATTGATGTTTCTCATTCACAATCGAAGTAGACAAAGCGGAAGATCACCTTAGAAAACTTTCCAATAAAATACCATTGTATGCGTTGACGAGACTGACTCTAAAAAAAAACTGAGGACACCAATTTTCGAATAAAAAATTATTCTAGTTAGCTCGTTTAATCGTTCGTTTAATTGTTCGTCAAAGTTCGAGTTCGAATAATATAAAAGACAAATTTTTTAGAAAAGAGTATTTTTTTTTTTTATATTTAACACTAACAATATAAGCTATTTACTTTATTTTCTAACAGTCATTTCCTACATTTTACTTGAGTACTGACTATAAATTATATACTACCGTTACTCCTTTCGTATTATATTTTTAAAATGATTTTTATTAGTGTTTATTAAATTGAATAATAGATAAAATTGTACTAATATTATCACTGTAGTTTAAGATCTTGATTGTTATTTTTGGTTTTTTCTTCTTTGATGTCACGTTAAATAACTTGCGATGTAAAACTTTATTTACTATAAATACAACTTATATTATTTTTTTACTATTTTAGTTTCTATAAATACGACTTATGTTATCTTTTATGTATCCCTGGTAAGTGTACACTGAAATAGTTGTTATTAGAAGAGAATAGGTAATTAAACAACCTAAGCTAAAGCTCATAATGTTACAAAACTGATGACTACATTGTATATTTTTATGAAAAGTCTCAACTTTCTTATCGTTTGATCTACACACATACATGTGGATGTGTGTGAGTGTGTGTAATCCAACAGTAAAATATGAACAATACGGGTCGAACTTTCTGCAAAACGGATATCCGAAACACTCCCTCACAAACATAATTTACTTCAAGGTAAATCTACAACTCTGACAAAACCCAAACACGAAGAAAAACAAGAAAAAAACCGAGCCCTTGATATACGTATAACTGTATGTGTCATTTCTCGTCACTGTCGTAATATTCTTCATCATCGTAATAGTATTCTTCTTCTTCGTCTGTATCGTAATAATACTCATCATCATCATCATCATCATCATCATCGTCACCATTCATCAAAGCCCTTTGTCCCTTGAGTCGCTCTTGAATTCGGTCTCTAATGGCCGTCCCCTGAGCGGTTACGAAAACACATATGATTCGATTTTCGAAGAGAGAAGATTTTCAAAGAGTTCGTATAAATAATTTTCAGAGTTCGCGAGGTGAAGTATGGGGAGCAAAAAAAGAAAAGAAAAGAAAAGAAAAAATGATTCTCACCATTTTATGACAGCCTTCCTCAAACATCTCAAGGAATCCAGCAACCCACCGGTCAGCATTTTCGACCCACATGTTACGATTCATGGTAGCCGTCTTTGCAACGGTTTGTATCTGAAAGACGTATATTATTATTTTGAAAAAAAGGATGACAAGTTTTTGGTTACTTAATGTAAAAAATCGAAATAATGAAGCAATTTCTAGTTCATACACACGTGTTTACTTTTAGTTCAGAAAATAATAATAATAATAATAATAATAATAATAATAATAATAATTACTGAAAAGTATTTCATATTTATCAATTATCAGTGACGATTCGCCACAAGAACTGTACCTTCTCCCCCACCTTTTCTTGCTGCTCCTTAACTTTTTCCTGCAGCTTTTTCAGTCTCATACTCACTCTCAAACGCTTTTCCTATAGAAAGTACAACAAAATCTTCCATTATTAGCCTCACCAAGAAAACAGATGAGAATAAAAGTTTGCAGCAATATCGATCACATAACGCATGAATTTTAGGTACGTAGAATTCAAATCACGAGAAAGAAACTATATTTAGAGGGAGGGAGGAAAAAAAGGCTTGCCTTAACATAACTAAGATTAAGCTCCTTTCTTGAATATCCACGATCCAAATTGCGCATAACATACTGGTTATAGTCTTTGACTATCCTCATAATGATGTCGGAGGTCGAAATTCCATCAGTCCTTTTAGTCTCTTTGAATCTTCCCACAGCTTTAACCTATATAGAAAACCAGGTAACCTATGATAATCGAGTGGCAACAAAGTAGCAAAACCAAAAGAAGAAAAAAATTGTGCGACTTTTATAATATTAAGCCGATTAACAGTCAGTTGAATGCGTACAAATTCATAGACATCCTTTCCAGCTCCACTCGTATCCGCATAACTGCAGAAAATGGTTGTATCACTTGGTTATAATGAACAGATACTAAACCTACTTGTTCGGACTGCGTAAAAGTAGAACAAGATTACCCATTAGTAGAACTACTCGCTTAATTCTGCCAGTACATACGAATTAGATTACATTTCACATACACAAATTCTCCTCGTATATAATTCTAAGTGTAACATAAATATAAAACTAATAACTAAGTTAATAAAAATAGTCATAACATAGGGAGAGATTGGCCTGAAGTTGCTGACTTGCTGTGATCTATGGTCTATTGGCCTGAAGATCGACAGAGAAAAGAGAGAGAAATCCCGCAAGATAGGGCATAACTAAGTTAATTTGCATAGTTGTCCCTTAATTTTTCTTTTTTTTTTTTTACNACCCCCAGCCATATCCCAAAAGTGGCCCCGCCATATCCAGCAAGTGTCCCGATCACGTCTAACGTGTCAAATTTAAGAAAATTTCAAGAACACGGAATTTGAAAAAGCAGACAAGCGTAGCTTATTTCATCCATATTCATGTTGTACCAATGTACGATCCACAAATTTCGTATTAAGCAACGGCACTACATAGCTTAATGTTTATAGATAAAACGCTTACGGAAGAGAGTCGTGAGCCACATAGTCTATCTTGTGCTTGTCGAGGAACTCTTGATTAATCACCCACGGAGCATCAGGAATAACCTCGTCAACCCACCTGCCAAACGACACACCTCAGATGTCAAATCGCCCAATCAATCTACACATGCAAATCGGCATGATTAAAATCTACACATTGACATTTTTTCTAATGTAGCCATAACAGAAATGATAATTCAAGTCAAGACGATGAAAAAAAGGCTGGATACTTGGCCACAAAGTACCTCATACTGACTGATCTCATCAAGAATGAAGATACAACAAGTACAGAAAGATCATCCCATTCAAAATCTTGCAGAGGCACAAAAACCAGGAAAAGGGAGAAAAAAAATTGGTAAAAGGAAACACACTTGCAATGACGAAGGGATTCGTAGCGCTCGGATTCATTCATAACGGTCTTGCCTTTGTACTTGTGTGTGACCTCATCACTGCAGCATCCGACTACCAGATATGTATTTGGGACCCTACAAATATACAAGGAGAATCGTATGATCGTCATTAATAGCATCGAGTTTTACGAGAAAATACTTCAACATACATCACGAGCTATTAATTCAAACAACATTTGTAATATCTGAGTATATCATATTATCGAGTTTACATGGAGAAATCATTTTAGTAGCTAAAAAAGAGAAGAAAATGAGAACATCATCATTCACACTCCCACTACATGAACAGAAATCGATAGTGAAGCCCAACACAAAAAGTCCCTGCAGAAATAAGAAGGGGAAAAAAGTTGAGCACTAAATTAAATTCAAGGGAGAAGAAAAAGTTTGGAACTTTACTAATAATTTTGTTCAAAAACTGAATTAGAATCACACGGGCGTAAAACGAAGACGAAGCACCTTGCGACCATGGAAACATGAAATTTAACCCCAAACACAAAGCCCAAAACCAAAACAGAGAAAAAAAAAATTAAACACGTAAAAAATCGACTCAAGAAAGGTCAATTACATAACCAAACAAAAAAATTACAGCTTCTTGGCCTGTTCGAGGGAACGAGCGTGGCCGAAATGGAAGAGATCGTATATCCCATCGGCGTAGACACGAACAGGACGGTCAGACGGCGAAGGAGCATCGCCGGAGCTGCAAACGGCGTCGTTTTTCTGGCTCTCGGCCGCCGGTTTCTGCTCCTCGGCTACGGCAATACCGCGCTCACCCATCGCAGCCGTTGATCCCTCTGTTGGGTTCTCCTTTCAGGTGATGATAGCTGATGGCAACGTGAGCTCCAAAACCCGAATATAACGATAAACGATGCCAGAGCCTTAATTTTTTTTTTAATATTAGTTATTTATGATATTTCTTTTTTATATGAATTATATACTTTTAAGCATAGTTTTTAAACCCGGACCCGGGCAGGTCCTCGGGTCACCGGGTCACCGGTTCAACCGTCGGGTCATCAGGTCAATTGCTGAACCGAATAATTAATTTTAAAATTTTTAAAATTATATATAAAGTATTTCTGTTATATATATATACATAAAAGTAACAAAATTAAATGTTTTGTGTATAAAATTTGTATATTAAAGTGTTAATAATATGTATCTCATGATAAATACTTACCATATAAACATATATACGTATTTTTATTTTTAAAAAACAAAAAAAAATAAAAAAAATATAAAAAATATATATGGACCGCAGTCAACCGGGTTGACCCGGCCGGGTCAATGCCCCGGGTCGGCCGGGTCTCTGCCGGGTCGGCCAGGTTTTGACCGGGTCCTTGGTTGTCCAGTCCAAATATTCCAGCCGAATCAGTTTCGACTCCGGGTCGACCCGCCGGGCCGGTCCGAGTCTCAAAACAGTGCTTTTAAGTATCGATTCCTTAATGGAATTGGATTATTGAATACCTATGACCCGTGGGTTACGTGTTACAAGCTTCAACGATGTGTGCACTTAAATAAAGTTTTATTATGGTAATATAATATTTAAAATTATATATTATATAGTTAACATGTTATATTTATAAATATCACTACAAGTAGAATATAGTTGAATTGAATTATTTTCTTTAATTAATTAGTTTGATCCAAGGCTAAAAATTAGATGTGCTTAATCTCAGTTAGCTAAGTCAAGGATTGAAGCTTAGTCGTTTGCCTAAGGAGGTCAAATACTTTCAGTTTGAAGAAAACTATGAAGTAAATACCTGTTTAGAAAGTCGAAACTTCAATAGTAAATGACAAGCCTTTACAGTAATTAATGGTGAAAGTGCATGCACTTCATCTTAATAAACTACTTACATTAAGTCGTAGGAAAATACTACAGGAACCCTTTCGTTGTGGGTTTTTAACTGTAGATTGTTTATCTACACGAAAAAAATTATGTGTATTTGTGTAAAAACATGCCATATAATATGGGATTATGAATGTGGACATATTTACTTGTTTGTTTCATGATCAATCATGACCACCATCGTCCATCTTTGTGTCTTCATAAAAAAAAAAAAGCAATATTGTTTTCCTTTCCTTTTTCATGCGCATGATTTTTGTCCTTTTCTATCAAAACAAACTGTAACAAGTACTTTACAGTCATCATCGTTTGAAGAGGATCGATCAATTAAAGTGAAGAAAAAGCTCAATAATGCATCGCCTACGCCATCTTCAATCGTCTCTCAAAATCACCAGCCAGGTTCGAAATCCACTCCGGTTTATTTGTTCTTCGTCCACTCGCACCTTCGTGGTTGCAAAGAATGCTTTTCTGTGGGTTATTTGTGCTTAATTAATGCTTTGAAGATTTCTTACAAGATCTGGTTTTTTAAGAAGGGGGCTTAGGTTTTCGAATAGAAGTTATCTGGAGAAAAAGGAGGTGTCTTGGGGGGTGTCTGTTTGTATTTAACTATGTTAATGTATTGGCCTCACGTGAAGGGTGCAATGGAGGAACTACCTAAAGCTCTGATTTTGACTTGAAAGGCTTTGGTCTTCTATGGAAGTGCATAGTACCAATGTCTCATGGTTGAAATGAAAACTTGTTTGGTCATACTTTAAAATGTGTCTTCATTTGATCTGGGTTTATTTCAAAATCCCATTACTGTAGAAAGATAGGGGATTGATTCTCAAATTTACTAAAAACTGTTATGGAAATGAAATTCCATATACAGGCTTAGTTTCTCGACTGCAATTTGATTCAACACTGTTTGAGTTGTATTGGTACAGTAGCTCACTTTATTGACAAAGAATGTGAATACAGGTGTTTGACCTTTATAGTCTCTATGTAAATGAGTTGGGCAATTTTTTAGTGCTGTTTTCTGGTCGTCTTGCATATTTGAGTTCCTTTTGAGCTGTTTTCTGCTTAATTCATCAAGCTTTTTAACTCTTTGGTTGTTCATGAATATTACGACAACGTTCAATCTTTTGAACTTGAATATTCGGTTACTTATGGACATCAAAGAAAATGCTAATCCCTTTTGGATATGAAACGGCTTTTCTGCATAAAAGATGCCAACTTTATGTTTTAAACGAAAAGGGAAGTTAATATGAATGTTCCTTTTCGAATCTTAACATGACTTAGTCAATGATGTAGACATCCTCTATGCTTCTCGTTCCACCGTTTTTCTTCTTGTTTTCTTTTTGTTGAAGAAGTTTTCAGTTTGAAAAATTTGACGAATGAATGAAGGTGTCCTGTGGTAGAGCAAACTTAAAAAAGGCCCTTTATTGATTAATATTTCAATATTCTTCCATTTTTCTGGTTCCATGTTAGTATCTCATGTTCATCGTTCAATTCTACAGGCCGTTTACCTTTCAACGGATATTTCAGCAGGAAATGGTTTGAGGAAAACTTTAGCCCAGGTTCCGAATCTTGCAAAAGCATATAGCACACAAGAATCTTTGCAAAAAGATGTCTCGTCAAACGATGATAACGGGTGCATTCCCCTACACTTGATTTCGCTCGGCTGATATATATTTGGCTCAATACATACACCAAATGGATATTTTTCTTTTCACTTTAAGGAGTTTATTCCTAATGTTGAGAAGATAAACATATCCTCTGAGTTTCGTTGACGATTAACCTTTGTAGCTTCAAGGGACATGATATGCTGGCCCCGTTTACAGCTGGATGGCAGACTACAGATTTGAATCCTCTTGTAATTGAGAAGTCAGAGGTATATACTGAACTCCATATCTGCATTTTAAACTTCTTTCTAATTGTTCCACCTTAATTATTAAGTATTCACATTGGTTGTTTGTTTTAGGGCTCTTACGTTTATGATGCCAAGGGGAAAAAGTATCTCGATGCGCTTGCTGGTTTATGGTGCACTTCTCTAGGTATTCTTGGTCTCATTAATTAATATTTATCTATTTTTTAATCATCTTCCTTGTGAAACTTCTTTATTTTCTGCCTTTGTATTCTTAATAAACACGGAATAATCCTGATTTTATTGTACTCTTGTGTTCTTGACAGGTGGTAATGAGCCCCGTCTTGTTGAGGCCGCAACAAAACAGCTAAAGACATTGCCATTTTACCACTCCTTTTGGAACCGTACCACAAAACCCTCTTTGGTAATGTGATGATTTTTTAAGTTAATTACCAGAAAGCTGTGTAAACTCGCCTTCAATATGTCCTCATTCTGATTTTCCTTTTGAGTGTGTAGGATCTTGCTAAGGAACTTACTGATATGTTCACTGCAAATGACATTGCTAGAGTTTTCTTCACGAATAGCGGATCAGAAGCCAACGATACACAGGTGAAGTAAAATGGCCATCAGAATTCACTGATTTTTTTTTTTTTTTATTTTTCCTTTTGGGA